GTAGGGGGTGAGGCAGTCCTTCAGGTACTCCGGCACCAGGCCATATAATGCCTTAAAAGTAAGAATCAGCACTTTGAAGGTAATCCGGTGCTCAACCGGCAACCAGTGCAGTTGCTGCAAGATTGGAGTGATATGACACCTTGCTGAGACCCCTGCGAGAAGCTGGGCAGCAGCATTTTGCACTACTTTAAGTTTCCAGATCACCGATAAAGGCAGGCCTATGTAGAGGGCGTTACAATAGTCCAACCTTGAGATGACCGTAGCCTGGATCACCGTGGCCAGGTCGTTCCTGGACAGATAGGGAGCCAGATGCCTAGCCTGATGCAGATGGAAAAATGTGACTCTGCTCGCAGTGGAGGCCTGGGCCTCCATCATCAGCAGAGGGTCTAAAAGGACTCCCAGACCCTTTATCAAAGATGACGAACATAATGTCACGCCACCCAGGGTAGGCAACCGGATTACTCCTCCATCTGGGCGACCCAACCAAAGGATCTCCATCTTCGCTGGATTCACCCTCAACCTGCTGGCACGCAACCATCCAGTAACGGCCTCAAGGCATTGATGGAAATGATCAGGTATGGAGTCTGGTTGGCCTTCCATCCTCAGAATGAGTTGAGTGTCATCAACATACTGATAGCACTCTAGCCCAAAACCTTGCACCAGCTGGGCAAGTGGTCGCATATATTAAAGAGCATTGGGGATAGAATGGCTTCTTTTTTGAGGAGTAGCTATTCCCAAGCACTACCATCTGGAACTTGCCTGAGAGATACGACCGGAACCACTGCAACACGCAATGCCTTTGATTGCCAGCCCCTTCAGGCATTCTAGAAGAATACTATGGTTGATGGAATCAAAGGCTGCTGACACAGTGAAGGGAGTTGGACTGAATGGCCTTAAGTATTTTCTGTTGGTCTGTTGGTCATGGGGGTTCTATATGGGAAGTTTGCCCCAATTCCATCGTTGGTGGAGTTCAGAATGCTCTTTGATTGTAGGTGAACTATAAATCCCAGTAACAACAACTCCCAAATGTCAAAGTCTATTTTCCCCAAACTCCATCTGTGTTCATATTTGGGCATATGGAATAGTTGTGCCAAGTTTGGTCCAGATCCATCATTGTTTGAATCCACAGTGCTCTCTGGATGTAGGTGAACTACAACTCCCAAACTCAAGGTTAATGCCCACTAAACCCTTCTAATGTTTTCTGTTGGTCATGGGAGTCCTGTGTGCCAAGTTTGGTTCAATTCTATCATTGGTGGAGTTCAGAGTGCTCTTTGATTGTAGGTGAACTATAAATCCCAGCAACTACAATTCCCAAATGACAAAATCGATGTTTTGAGTGATGGACACTCTTTGGGTTAGTAGATGTCTTGTGGCCAAATTTGGCAGCAATTCGTCCAGCGGTTTTTGAGTTATGTTAATCCCACAAACAAACATTACATTTTTATTTATATAGATAATTCAATTTACTAATAACAATAGGGAAATGCATTAAATGTAAACAATGTACACAAAACAAAGCAGGTTTAGTATTTTAATTAATTTACTTCTTTTGAATCAATATCAGAATCTCATTCCTCTGAGATGTCTATATCTTAGTTATCCCAGAACATATCATCTGAGCATTCGAGATGCAACATTTTTTTCAATAATTGCATTAAAATGAATGCAATTATGAAATACAGAAAAAAGGTGGTTCCACATTGGCAATGCCCACTACTTTGTTCAATAACAGAATAGTGAGAGAAGGGTGGAGAATGGTCAAATGTGGAGATGTTCTGCCATCTTGTGGTGCCATCTGCAAAGCGCAGGAGACAGAAGAAATTCAGAATCTTAGGCTCAGCCCTGATTCCAAAATTCCCCCCTTTTAGATATTTCTCTTAGAGGAAAGAAACATTGTATATAATAGAATGTAAAGTGATTTGATTAATAATACGATAAAAACTATCTGATAGTATTTATTTATCGTGTCATCAGCAACCAGACATTTGTATTACATTTTTCACAAAACAAACAGACAAAACACAGAATTTGCAAGCTTGGTAGTTGATTAAATGTCCTTTGGCCAATATCTGGCCACTTGGAGTGCCTCTGGTGTTGCCCCAAGAAGGTCCTCCATTGTGCATGTGGCAGGGCTCAGGTTGCATTGCAGCAGGCGGTCTGTAGTTTGCTCTTCTCCACACTCGCATGTCGAGGATTCCACTTTGTAGCCCCATTTCTTAAGGTTGACTTTGCATCTCGTAGGGCAAGAGCGCAGTCTGTTCAGTGCCTTCCAAGTCGCCCAGTCTTCTGTGTGCCCAAGGGGAAGTCTCTCATTTGGTATCAGCCATTGGTTGAGGTTCTGGGTTTGACCCTGCCACTTTTGGACTCTCGCTTGCTGGGGTGCTCCAGCGAGTATCTCTGTAGATCTTAGAAAACTATTTCTTGATTTAAGTCATTGGCGTGCTGGCTGATAACCAAACAAGGGATGAGCTGGAGATGTCACTGCCTTGGTCCTTTCACTATTGGCTGCTACTTCTTGGCGGATGTCAAGTGGTGCAATACCGGCTAGACGGTGTAATTTCTCCAGTGGTGTAGGGCGCAGACACCCCGTGATAATGCGGCATGTTTCATTAAGAGCCACACCCACCGTTTTAGCATGGTGAGATGTGTTCCACACCAGGCATGCATACTCAGCAGCAGAGTAGCACAGTGCAAGGGCAGATGTCTTCACTGTGTCTGGTTGTGATCCCCAGGTTGTGCCAGTCAGATATCGTATGATATTGTTTCTAGCACTCACTTTTTGCTTCATGTTCAGGCAGAGCTTCTTGTAGGTCAGAGCACGGTCCAGAGTGACTCCCAGGTATCTGGGTGTGCTGCAATGCTCCAGTGGGATTCCTTCCCAGGTGATCCTCAGAGCTTGGGATTCTTGTCTGTTCTTAAGGTGAAAGGCACATGTCTGTGTTTTAGATAGATTAGGGATCAGCTGGTTTTCCCTGTAATAGGCAGTAAGAGCACCTAGAGCTTCGGAGAGCTTCCGTTCAACCATCTCAAAGCTCCCTGCTTGAGCAGTAATGGCACAATCATCAGCATAGATGAAGTTCTCTGTCCCTTCTGGCAGTGGCTGGTCATTTGTGTAGATGTTGAACATGAATGGAGCAAGCACGCCCCCCTGAGGCAGGCCATCTGCTTCTCTGGTCCTGGAACTCAACAAAGAAGCTCCTGTTTTGTAGCAGGTTTCCTATGAGGCAGGTGAGAAGGTAGTCCTTTGTGATATTATACATTTTTCTCAGGAGGAGGCGGTGGTTTACGGTATCATAAGCCGCTGACAGGCCTATGAAGACAGCTCCTGTGATCTGCTGCCTTTCAAAGCCATCTTCCATCTGCTGAGTCAGGTTCAGCACTTGCGATGTGCAGCTTTTGCCTTTTCTGAAGCCAGCTTTCTGTGGAATCAGACAGGGGTCTATTTTTTCCATAATTCTATGCAAAATAAGTCTCTCCAGAACTTTGTACAGGTGGCATAACAGGGAGATTTGTTTTTGGATCATGACGGTCTTTGCCTGGCTTCAAGATGGCGATGACTCTTGCTTTCCTCCAGATTTTGGGGATCTGACAGGATGCCGCATCTGGTAGTGAAACATTTGTAGATTTGTTTATGTTTGTTTTGTATTTCTATGTGTATGTGTGTTTCATTTTTGTTTCCCTGTTTTGTTATTTTAATAGTTGTTCAGGTGTAGTCTTGTAGTAGTAGGTAGTATTTATTTATTTATTTCTCAGCCTGTAGGCGACTCAAGGCGGTTAACAGGGTAAAATTCAATGCTTACAATACCATAAATACAATTTAAGACATAACATAAAATAAAAACTAAACAAATCAATAAAATATAAATTCATAGAGTCTCCTTGTTAAAAATGTTGTCCGGTCTCATTGTCGTCGTTCCATTTTCCTGTGTCAGTTACTCTGCATTTGGAAACGCTAGTTCAAAAAACCACGTCTTGACTTTTTTCCCAGAATGTTAAAAGGGAGGTGGCCGATCTAATATCTATAGGGAGGGCGTTCCATAGCTGAGGGGTCACCACCGAGAAGGCTCTGTCTCTCGTCTCCGACCAACATACTTGTGACGAAGGTGGTAACAAGAGCAGGGCCTCCCCAGACGATATTAAGGTCCTAGATGTTTCATAAGGGGAGATGCGTTCGGACATGTAAGTTGGGCCAGAACCGTTTAGGGCTTTATAGACTAAAGCCAGCACTTTGAATTGTGCCTGGTAGCAAAATGGCAGCCAATGGAGCTGGCGCAACAGAGGAATTGTACACTCTCTGAGTGCAGCTCCTGTTAGCAATCGTTGCCATTCGTTGGACCATTATCGTTGGACCAGTATCATAGGCTGCTGACAGGTCTATGAAGACAGCTCCTGTGATCTGCTGCCTTTCAAAGCCATCTTCTATCTAAATAGAAGATTTAGAAACTGAGATGTGTAGTTTTTAATTCATATAACTATAAAAATTTGTTGGTATGTTTTATTAATTTTGTGTGGCTATTAGGCTTGGGTAACCACGGAAAAATTTGGTTCTAAACTTGTTTTGTTTTTAGGGGGCCCTTGCGTTTCGTTTTTTTTAATAATTCCGAAATTTTCCTTTTAAAAATTTCAAAATATACGAAATTTCGTATAATTACGAATCGATTCGTTAATGGCGGACGCGATTGTGCAATATGCTAAAAAAACCTCCAAATGGGACAGGGGGAACTTCTGAAGCTTCCCTCTCCCTCTGTTGTTGACTGTTGGTGTGATAAAACACATAACAACTATAAAACCTGCACCAGACATGCAAAAATAATTTTGAAATAATTACAAAATAATTACGAAATAATTACAAAATAATTACGAAATAAATTGAAAAAATTGTTTCGAATCTAATTTACTCCTCACACTATTCCTGCATGGCTCAATATTGGATCGTAAGCTAATTTAAATACGAATTAATAACGAATTACGAAATTAACGAACGAAACCGCCCAAACCTAGTGGCTATACTCAAATGAAAAATGAGACTGTTTCACATGCAGAAATATAAGTACTTCAAAGGATAAACACTGAAAGAAATACTGAAAAGTATGTTCTGTGTCATGTTTATTACACGAAGCTTGAAAAAGATATAAATACTTGAAACATTCATGTTTAAATGATATACTAGGTTCTTTGAAAAGGGAAAAGTGCATCTTTTTAAGAGAAAAAGTATTAAAATTTACACAAAATGATTTCTTGAAGAACACACATATATAAGTTAATACAGAGACAAATACAAATTGAAAACCACAAACAGAATAAATAATTCTTCACTCTTATGTACCAGACTACGCTGGATAGACTATACAAATAATAATAGTTTTCGTTATATATTGTAAGATGTCAAGCAATGGAATCAATTGTTAACCTTCAAGAATGAGAAACAGTATAATTTTATCATACTTCTAATTCTATCTGTGATTGGATGGAGTAAGTCCCATTGGGATCACTAAGGCTTTGGGCCCATCTACATGATTCAGAACCACTATTGTTTGTTTACAACCATCTCACCTACTTTCACTGGGCTCAGATGGTCCAGGGACAGGAGGTGGCTTTACTGTTGACATTGTGTCTTGAGTTTGGCAGCAACCATGAGTTGCAGGTAGGCATTGCTTGTCACATGTACTGATGGTGACTAAAAAACATCAGAATCACTGGAGTGAACCTTCTCCAGTTGCTGTGGTGCTCTGTCCAGCATCAGTACATGCAATGAACAATGATCACCAGACGTTTTGTACCCAGAAGTCACTGCTAAGCCATGGACACAATGGCTGGGGGTTGGACTGGATGGCCTGTGAGGTCTCTTCCAACTCTGTGATTCTATGATTCTATGATTCTATGAAACAGTAAAGCCATCTCCTGCCCTCGGACTGCCTAAGCCCAGGGTAAGTAGGTGGGATGGCTGTGTAAACAGCAGTGGTTCTGAATCAGAACCAGTTCAACTATTTATTCATGCCCAAAGTACGAGTGAGCGCTGGAGCTTCAGAGAAGCTTTATGGCATCTCCCAACTTTGGATGATACAGGAAAAGGCCACATTACATGGCCTTACCACGTGTTAGGGTGAATTGGCCTCGTGTGCCATGTGGACTCTACAGAGGCGGCCCTAGGTAATTTTCAACGGTAAGCAAACAGTATTTTGCCCCCCCCCCCAACCAATCACTGATATATATTTTCTGTTCTTCATGGGAGTTCTGTGTGCCATATTTAGTTCAATTCCATCATTGGTGGAGTTCAGAATGCTCTTTGATTGTAGTTGAACTATACATCCCAGTAACTACAACTCGCATATGTCAAGGTCTATTTTCCCCCAAGAGCGCCTCAAGAGCGCCCCTGGGCAAAATCAACTATACTGCGAATGCTTACTTTGCGTAATGGGTTGAGCCGCCCCTGTACATGGTCTTACCATGTGTTAGGGTGAATTGGCCTCGTGTGCCATGTGGACTCTACGAAGTTTGTTCACCCCCCACTCTGACTCATTTGTCCCGTGTAAATGGGCCCTTTATTTAAAGCAGCCAGAAATCGCTTTAGAATAGGGCACTTGACTTGGAAAAGATTTAGTATCTACTTGTACAAAATACGCTGCTTGTTTTGTGTTATTCCTGTGAGCTGAGATACTGTTCACATTGCGGGTCGCCTGTCATTTCAGTCGATCCAGGAATCCTCTTTCCATTTTTTGGATACACACACCAACATCTTGCAGGATTTCCATCAAGTGAATTTTCACACTAGAGGAAACATTAAAATGTACATTTAGAAAACAATATTCAAAAATGGTTATGTTAGATATTGCATGATACAATTCAGGAAAAAGAGTTATGGGCTAAGATGAATATTATATAAATAAAAATGTAATGTTCGTTTGTGGGATTAACATAACTCAAAAACCACTGGATGAAATGACACCAAATTTGTACACAATACACCTATCAGGCCAATGAGTGACCATCACTCATAAAAAACAAACAACACACACACACACAGTGGAAAGGACTGAAAAACAATCAAAAAGACATTACAGTGCATATGCGAAAATTCCCTGAAAGGCTCCTTTCCCACCGATGCCCAGGCAAGATGTAGAGAAGGAAGGAAGGATAGAAAAAAAGGGAAGGAAATAAAGAGGAAGGGAAGAAAGGAAAGAAAGAAAGAGGGAGGGAAAGAAAGAAAGATGGATGCACTGTGTGAAGGAAGGAAAGAAAGAAAGAGGTAGAGAAGGAAGAAAGGAGAGAAAAAAAGAAGGGAAATAAAAAGGAGGGAAGGAAGGAAGGAAAGAGGTAGAGAATGAAGGAAGAAGGAAAGAAAAAAAGAAGGAAGGAAAGAGGGAGAGAAGGTTGGCCACAGCAACGCCTGGCGGGTACAGCTAGTAAGCTTATAAAATCCAATAAATACTGCATTAACTTGAGTCTTATGCTTGCTTTTTTGGCTAAATAACCTCACTAAACTTAGGATGTGCATTAAAATAGTGTCATACAGTAATCTTACCACCTTATCACATTGAGAAATTTCTCAGTTGTAGGACACTTCAGCCTCTTTTCAAACATGGAGAGGCTCTGAGCTCATCACCTGAGCTGTAAATCATAGCCCTCCATGGTTGAAAAGAGGCAGAAAGAGGAGGGAACTCCAGCAATCAACCTCATCACATTGAGAAATGTTACCCTCATAGGACACTTCAGCCTCTTTTCAAGCATGGAGAGGCACAGAATTCATCACATGTTCCAGGGTTGAAAAGAGTCAGAAATGTCCTGAAAGGAGGGAACTCTGAACATGGGTCAGCAACTGTCATGTATCATGTTCTGCAGTTGATGGTGGTTGGTAGTGGTGAGCCTAGCAGTTGGTGATGGAAGGGTTAATGTAAGTCTTAGATCTAAAGGGTTGAGTAATCCGTAAGTAAAAGCAATTAAGGGTGGAGGTATACAAGAGACGGGTTGCAGCTGGGTGCTTCTGGATATAAGGAGCTAACCTTGGGACTGATCTTTGGGAGAAAAGTATTTGTTTTATTTTGGTGGTAGATGCTGCTGGTTTCCTCCCAGGTTTGTGGATTTTTGGTGTCCTGACCTGTCTCCTAAACCTTTGGAATCCTGTAACCTTGAATCTTTGGACTGGCTTTTGACTACGGTATAGACTCTTGATTCCTGGACTTTCTTTATTGAACTCTTGGTGTTTGACCACTGGACTGGACCTTCTGACTACGGAGTTATCTTGAACCTGCAACAATGTTTGCTGTTTTGTTTTATATTCTGTGGCTGAGTGCAATCTTTATGTTTTATATTTTGGACTTTTAAAACAGCCAGAAAGTAAGTGCTGTTTTAATTAAACTGATTAATACAAACTGGGTATTTGTTTGATTCATCTCTACCTGAATAAAGCAGAGCCCTCATATCATGACAGAAACCATGCTCAGGTGGCCAGAATACCCTCATGAAAGCTGGAAAGTTGAATAGCCTCTGTGTGTCTGTCTATATATGTTGCGTGTCTATGGCATTGAATGTTTGCCATGTATATGTACATTGTAATCCGCCCTGAGTCTTTTGCGGGGTGAGAAGGGTGGAATATAAATACTAAGCCTGGGTAACAACGGAAAAATTTGTTTCTAAAATCGATTTGTATTTGGGGGTTTTTTTTGTTTCGATATTTAAAATAATTACAAAATTTTCCTTTTAAAAAGTTTGATATTTACGAAATTTTGTAAATGGTAAAAAATTAACGAATCGATTTCCGAAACAATAACGAATCGATTCGTTAATGGCGGACGCGACCGCGAAATACGCTAAAAAACCTCCAAAACCTTCTGAAGCTTCCCTCTCCCTCTGTTGTTGACTGTTGGTGTGATATTATAATTTTTTTTCACTAATCAAACCATAAAACTGGCCCAGACATGCGGAAATAATAACGAAACGACCTCAAAACAATAACGAAACGAATACAATATCGAAATACGAAGCATTTACAAAACGTTTTTGAAAATTCGTTTTTTTAATAATTGCTCCAGAATGGTTTGTTATCGTTTTGTAATTGAAAAAATTAACGAATTATTAACGAATTACGAATTAACGAAACGAAACCGCCCAGCCCTAATAAATACTGTAAAATAAATAATAAATAAACCAAAACTATTTTAAAAGAGGAATGCCAAACATGCAGCCCAGAAAACTTCTGAATACTTCCAAATTTCAGTGTAGCTAAGAGATGGAGGCCCACTAAAAAGGATTTTTCTTGTTTTGACTGACTTACAGCTTAATGATTTACTCAATGAATTTTGTTTCGCTGGAGGAAATAAACAAAAATTATAGCCGTGACTTTAGTTGTCAAAATTTTTAATATGCCTTAATGGGCTTCTAGCCAGATATAAACACTGTTTGTTTTAATAATAGGGGAAAAATTGGCTGCAATCTTAAACACAACCACAAGAGAGTAAGCCTAACGATTGCAATCGATTAAGCTTTGCTTTTTATTATTCTTCAGCACATCGGCATCTGTGCTAATGTTGCCATTCCATTTAAAGGGCAATGGATGAAATATTTGTTTGTTTATTATATCAATATCAACCTCTAGTCCGGATCACAAGATTACCTGCTTGCTATGGTAAAATCCATTCCTGTGACAGTTGGGCAAATAAAATCTGTATGTCTCGCCTCTGGTTCTCTGTTGAGCCTTTGCCAGTTTCTCCAGTGCTCTGTAGAGTTCTTTTTGACATGGTCCCTGAAAGGTTTAAATTGAAGTGTTAAAGCAAAAAGTAAAAAGTAAGAACATTGTGCAAGTCAACCAAGAAGAAATACTATGTTAATATGCCTCAACCATTACGCAAAGTAAGCATTCGCAGTATAGTTGATTTTGCCCAGGGGTTCTCTTGAGGCACTTTTGGGGGAAAATATACCTTGACATATGCGAGTTGTAGTTACTGGGATGTATAGTTCACCTACAACCAAAGAGCATTCTGAACTCCACCAATTATGGAATTGATTCAAATATGGCACACAGAACTCCCATGATGAACAGAAAATACATATCAGTGATTGGTGGGGGGAGGGGGGGCAAAATACTGTTTGCTTACCGTTGAAAATTACCTAGGGCTGCCTCTGATATGCCTATAATAACATGCTTTAAAATACATTACACTTTCAGTTAACTGGCATCTGTGGGCGTTGGGAGATGCCAAATAAATGCAGTTTCCGGTCGCTTGAGATTTACTATTAAAATGTAATAGTAATGCTCAATTACTATTAAAATATGTGTCCATGCCCTCCAAGGTCATGTACCCGGCCCCCATCCTCAACTTTAGATGTAGGGTTGCCCTCAGTCTGAAATAATAATAATAATAATAATAATAATTATTATTATTATTATTATTATTATTATTTATACCCTGCCACTCCCCAGTGGGAACTCGGGGTGGCTTACATGAGGCCAAGCCCAAACAACAAATTACAGCAAAATAAAAACGAAAACAATAAACAACATCATAATTACATAAAACATATGAATGCATAACAATATAAAATTACAGTAAACACAATCACAGTGACAATGGGCAGGCTACATGTAATGATTTAAAGAAAAACTAATCAAAAACTGATTAAAAACTCGGGTGAGATAAAGGAGAAGCAGGTTATTTGCGGAAGGGGGGGTCATTAAAACGGGAGTTGTGGAATCAAACTTTCCCACAAGGGGAGGGGGGGACGTAGACTCCAATGACAAAACGTTGAGGCTAAGCAGTAGTGTGAGGTTGTATACCTACTCACCAAAGGTGCAGCGGAAGAGCCAGGTTTTAAGGTTCTTTTTAGAGGTTTCTAGGGTAGGGGCTTTCATAATCTCTCCAGGTAATGAATTCCAGAGTCAGAGGGCCACAGAGGGAAAAGCTCTCTCCCTTGTGCTTACAAGGTGAGCTTGTGAAACCGGGAGGGGCGAGAGAAGAGCCTCCCCAGAAGATTGGAGGGCCCAAGCTGGTTCATGGAGGGAGATACAGTCACAAAGGTAGGCGGGTCCCAAACCGTTTAGGGCTTTATAGGTGATAACCTGCACCCTTAATTGGGACCGGAAAATAAACGGCAGCCAGTGGTGTTCCTTAAACAGGGGGGTTGACCACTCCCTGTAAGTCACCCCAGTTACTAATCTGGCTGCTGAACGTTGGGCAAGTTGTAATTTCCGGGCTGTCTTCAAGGGTAGTCCCACGTAGAATGCATTGCAGTAGTCCAGTCTAGAGGTAACTAAGGCATGGACCACAATGGTCAAGTCAGACTTCGCGAGGTAAGGTCGCAGTTAGCGCACAAGTCAATTGCGTGAAGGCCCTCCCGGCCACTGCCGACACCTGCGCATCAAGCGTCAGCGCTGAGTCCAGGAGGACCCCCAAATTGTGGACCTGTGATTTCAGGGGGAGTGCAACCCCATCCAGCACAGGTTGACTTGCCTAACTAATACTACTGTATACTACATACCATACCAAAGAGATGGCACCTGAAGGAGAGAGGGGCTACGCCGTTTATATTTACCCAGTGGGCAGACCAAAGGGAAGCATGCTTTCCTTGGGCCTGCCTCCATTCCTGCCAATGAGAGCGTGGTGAGCCCAGGGCCTCTTGGGAAGAACGGGGGGCAGAAAGATAGTGGGCAGAGAGTGTTCCTGCCTCGCAACTACTCTGTCTAGTAAGTTGGGCACCCTTTGGGTTTGGTCAGTCAACCAAACCCAACTTACTACCCTGTCTAGTAAGTTGGGCATCCTTTGGGTTTGGTCAGTCAACCAATTCCCAATCTACCTAATATTAGCATTGTCTAGCTTACATTTTCTTAGGTTCTTTGTGAGAATGTCATGTTGAATCTGGTCAAAGGTCTTATTGGAACCCAGAGATCATGCATCTCTACAGCATTCCCTTCATCTACCAAGCTTGTGACTCTATCAAGAAAGAGATAAGGTTTGCCTGACATCACTTGTTTTTGAGAAACCCATGTTGACTTTATGTGAACATGACATTCCTTTCTATGTGCTTACAGGTTGTCTGTTTAATGATCTGCTCAAAAAACATTCCTGGTACTGATGTCAGGCTGACTAAGTAGGAAATGTTTGTGTCCTCTCCATCCCCACCCCCCTTGAATTTGGAAACAACGTTTGCCTTCCTCCAATCTGCTGGAACTTCTGTTCTCGAGGAATTCTCAAAGATGATTGCTAGTGGTTCTGAAATTACTTCGGTCAATTCATGCTTTGTACATTAGTTCCCCCCCCCCAACTTCTCTTCATTGAGAATATTGAGGGACTCACTTGTTCTTTCCCTTTCCTGATTTCATTAAGTCTCCTTCTTTTCATGTTTTCGTAGGCACTGATTGCATTCCAAGTGGCAGATTTCTCTTGGCTAATCGGAAACAACTGTTGGTAGCTCAGAGATTGATGTGCTGTCATTTCAGTGCTCTCAGTAGGTATGTCTTCTGGTTCAACAGATTCTGAAAAGAAGAATTAGAATGATAAGGGTTTGATACACTTCAACAGGAAGTTCTGCGCAGCTTGTAGTGAAATAAATAGGAGGAATCACAAGAGAGCACAATTTATAACCTTCTTCCATCAATAGAGGACACATGTATAAAATGAGAAAGTTTGTAGACCATAGTGGAAAGAAATCTTAGAAACATCCTAAGAATCTAAGCTGGTTACTAGGTTTGTTTGATCAAGAAAAAAATTGGTTCTAAACTCGCTTCGTTTCCAGGGAGCGCCAGCGTTTCGAATTTCTGAGGACTTCCGAAATTTAAGATTTCAAAATTTCGAAATTTACGAAATTTCGTTAATTACGAATCGATTTGTTAATGGCGGACGCGATTGCGCAATGCGCTAAAAACACCTCCAAACGGGACAGGTGAAACTTCTGAAATTCAGGATGAAATTAAAATACATTAAGTTAGTAAAAATACAAATTAAAATTACTTAAAATTACTTAAAATTAATAAAACAATAAAACAATAAAACAATAAAACAATAAAATAATAAAATAATAAAATAATAAAATAATAAAATAATAAAATAATAAAATAAAATAATAAAATAAGTAATAAGATAATAAAATATCTCCAGGAGGAGGAGGAGGAGGAGGAGAAGGAGGAGGAGGAGGATGGGGAGGAAAGGCAACGCTGGCACCTTTTCTCTCCTTCTTTCCTGTCTTAATAATTACGAAATAATTACGAAATAATTACGAAAATTTGGAAAAATTGTTTCGATTCTTAATTACTCTTCACACTATTCCTGCATGGCTCAATATTGGATCGTAAGCTAATTTAAATAAGAATTAATAACGACTTTAGAAACTAACAAACACGATCAAACAAGCCTACTGGTTATTGTTGCCAGTGCGCCTGTTGCTATGTGGGCCTGTCTACACCAGACAAGTTGCTGCTAGAATCCCTTACTGATAAAGTGTAAACAACAAAACTAAGGGCTTTTCTGCACAAGCACTAAAATCTGGCTTCAAGATAATAATAATAATAATAATAATAATAATAATAATAATAATAATAATAATAACAACAACACTTTATTTGTACCCCGCTACAAATAAAGTGGACTAGGTGTGGCTTACATGAGGCCGAGCCCAAACACTCAATACAAGCAATAATCACAACAATACAAGCAATTAAAATAAAACATAAACATATAACATTTATCAATAAGACAACATACAATTAAAACGATGGGAAGGCCAAATGTAAAATTAAAATTGGAAATAGTGCTGAACATGGACGAACAGGTGATAGTGGCGTTTGTGGAGAGACATATGGGCAGACCTAAAAAGTGTAAAGTGCTTTAGAGGGACAAAGTGCTATGGGAACATTATTCCAGGAAGGCACACTGGAACAACCACGTCTTCAAGCTCCTCCTGAAAACTGCCAAAGTTGGGGCCTGCCTGATGTCCTTAGGGAGTGAGTTCCAGAGTCGAGGGGCCACCACCAAAAAGGCCCTCTCTCTCGTCCCCACCAATCGCGCCTGTGATGCTGGCGGGATCGAGAGCAGGGCCTCTCCAGATGAAGGAAGGGATCGTGTGGGTTCGTATACAGAGATGCGGTCACGCAGGTAGGCGGGTCACAAACCGTTCAGGGCTTTGTAGGTAAGAACCTTCACCTTGAATTGGGTCCGGTAAATGAATGGCAGCCAGTGGAGCTCCTTGAATAGGAGGGATGACCGCTCTCTGTAAGGAGCCCCAGTAAACAACCTGGCTGCTGCCCATTGGATCATCTGAAATTTCCGGGCCGTTTTCAAGGGTAGCCCCACGTAGAGTGCATTGCAGTAGTCCAGTCTAGAGGTGACTAAGGCGTGGACCACCTTGGCCAGATCCGCCTTCTTGAGGTATGGTCGCAGTTAGTGCACGAGTCTTAATTGTGCAAAGGCCCTCCCAGCCACCACTGATGCCTGAGCCTCAAACGTAAGTGAAGAATCCAGGAGGACCCCCAAACTGCAGACCTGTGACTTCAGGGGGAGTGCAACCCCGTCCAGCACAGGTTGCCACCCTATACCCCGGTCTGGTTTACGATCGACCAGGAGGACCTCTGTCTTGTCGGGATTAATCTTCAGCTTGTTCGTCCTCAACGAGACAGCCATAGCTTTGTAGACATCCTCAAGTTGAGGATGTCTACAAAACCTCGCAAAATCCGCTGAAGCTTATCTGTGTATAAACACTACACAGCATAAATCTGAATGCCAAATATGGGGGATTTATACAGACAGGGCTAACACTGAAGCAGTTTGAGAAAGAACCTGGACACACAGCTTTGTGTGAAGGTTAAAAAACACTTCCCACCTGGAAAGGAAGTCATAGCATTACCATGGGAATGCTCAATGGCCATCTCTTACTTTGCCTCGCTACGCTCAAGTGCTAGAAGCTGTTTTTTCTAAACGAGTGTATCTTGCTGGAGGAGAAAAGGGGAGAAAAAAAAAATCCTTGGATCAGATCAATCTACACTCAGCAAATTTTGTGGCTACTATTCTAGCCTTGAAGGCACTTTGAAGTGAGCAGAATCTTTTAAATTCACATTCTGACCTGGATTTACATGGCTGTGTAGAAGCAGCCTGAGAGAAAAGAGGAAGGCAAACATAAAACTACCTCAACAGCTATCCCCAGAATTTTTATAGAAGCAGATTTCTGGAAGTATGAAATCCGCTAGAAAAAAGAAGTTAGTGAAAGAAAAAGTTATCCTTGCATTTGTTTTGGTGGTTCAACATGTTTCAATTTCCTAATGCAAGGCTTATTTGACCTGCTTGTTTCATTCACATGTATATATTGTTAGCTATGAGTAAAAACTTTGCTGAAAAAAGTTAAATTGTTCTTCTTTTTTGTGGTATCCATATTCTTCCATATTTATTTATTTACTTTACTTTACTTGTATACTGCAGTTTCTCAGCCCAACAGGCGACTCAATGTATATATATTCTGCCTCTGGTATCAAATTTTCTGTTAATTAAGGACCAGGAACATATTACTTTGTTAACTGAGATATGCCTGTATTCAGATTCCTGCTTAATAATAATAATAATAATAATAATAATATACAATTTTTTTTTGTCGTGTCAGGAGCAACCGTTCCTGTTGTGAGAGAATTGGCCGTCTGCAAGGACGTTGCCCAGGGGACGCCTGGATGATTTTTTGATGTTTTATCATCGTTGTGGGAGGCTTCTCTCATGTCCCCGCATGAGGAGCTGGAGCTGATAGAGGGAGCTCATCCGTCTCTCCCCAAATTCGAACCTGCGACCTGTCGGTCTTCAGTCCTGTTGACACGGGGCTTTAACGCACTGCGCCACCGGGGGCTCCATATAATATACAATAATAATAATAATAATAATAATAATAATAATAACCCCACCAACCACCAACCATCTCCCCTAGGGGACTTGGGGCCGCTTACAAGGGACATGCCCAAGATTACAATTAAAACACACATGTAAAACACTTTAACCAATTAAAACATCAGATAAAACAAATAACAACACAATTCAAAGCAATATAAAAACAATACGGCTGAAAAACATAGCTGAGGTACAGATTCAAAGAGTGCAATGCAGTTTTACAGGAGTGCAGGAAAGTGCAACAATACAGTAAACTGGACAGGAAATTCTGTCAAGCACATGTTGAGATAGGACGTATGCCAGTGTAAAATGCGGGCTGGTGTAAAGTGCGGAACTTCAAGTAGGGACAAGAAAGCTACTGGTGAGCTGCTTAGTCAAAAGCGCATGGGAACATCCAGGTTTTTAGTTGACTACGAAAGGAGGACAAGGTGGGAACCTGTATGATCTCCATAGGGAGGGAATTCCAGAGCTGGGGGGCCACCACTGAGAAGGCTCTCTCCCTCGTCCCCATCAACCGTGCATGTGACGGCAGTGCCTCCCCAGAAGATCTCAAGGTACACACTTGTTCATAGGGGAAGATGCGATCGGGAAGATAAGCAGGTCCCAAACTGTTTGGGGCTTTATAGGTGATGACCTACACCTTGAATTGGGACCGGAAACTTATTGGAAGCCAGTGGAGCTGTTTAAACAGGAGGGTTGACCGCTCTCTGTAACCAGCTCCCATGAGTAGTCTGACTGCAGATCTCTGGACCGGGCCATCTTCAAGGGCAACCCTACATAGAGTGCATTGCAGTAATCCAACCTAGAGGTGACTAGGGCATGGACCACCATGGCCAGATCAGATTTCACGAGGTACGGATGCAGCTGGCGCACGAGCTTTAACTGTGCAAAGGCCCTCCCAGCCACCGCTGATACCTGAGCATCAAGTGTCAAAGCGGAGTCCAGAAAGACCCCCAAGCTGTGGACCTGTGTCTTCAGAGGGAGTGTGACCCCTATGCCCCGATCAGTCCCACGACTAGCCAGAAGGACTTCTGTTTTGTCAGCCCCTCAAGCCCCCCCCCCCCCCAGCTATGGGCCTGCCTGGCAGCTGTAGTCAAATACACAAATAAAATGTCCTCATTTGGGTCTAATGATAAGTCTGAATCAATTAACCCCAACAAGTAGTATTCTGGCTTTTTGGGGATTTTTTTTCTTAAGAATTTGTTGGCACTCTTCATGAATTGCCTTCCAATATTTTTTAGGTTCTCACCAGTATTTCAATGGGAAGTGTGGGCCTGCTTTTGGCTGATGAGATAGTCAACTTAATTTGGATTGCTGCTGTTGTGTGACTTCAAGTCCTTTCTGACAGAGGGCGACCCTAAATCTAAAGTTGAGGATGGGGGTCGTGTAAATGACTTTCGAGGGCTGCATCTAGCCTACAGGCCATGGTTTGGAGATCTTTGCTCTAAAGCTCTCCTACAAGACAGGTAACTCTCTAAATATGCAGGAACATTTTTCACAAAATACTGTTACAAGCTACCTAATGAAGAGGAGGTCTCTCGCTGAAATAATTTAAGTTCCCATCCTTGACTTTCTAACACAGGGGTCCTCAAACTATGGCCCGAGGGCCAAATACGGCCCTCCAAGGTCATTTACCCGGCCCTCGCTCAGGATCAACCTAAGTCAGAAACTACTTGAAAGCACACAACAACAACAATCCTATCTCATCGGCCAAAAGCAGGCCCACACTTCCCATTGAAATACTAATAAGTTTATATTTGTTAAATTGTTCTTCATTTTAATTATTGCATTGTTTTTCAGTGTCTTTTGCACTACAAATAAGATATTTGCAGTGCGCATAATAATTCATTCTTTTTTTCCCCCTCCAAATTATAATCTGGCCCCCCAACAGTTTGATGGACTGTTACCTCCGGGATTGTGGCGCAGCTGGCTGAGTGTCAGCTGCATTAAGATCACTCTGACCAAAAGGTCATGAGTTTGAAGCCAGCTCGGGTTGGAGTGGGTTTCCAACCAATTGTGTGTAGCCTGTTGTTGACCTTTGCAACCCGAAAGACAGTTGCATCTGTCAAATAGAAAAATTAGGTACCACCTTAAAAGTGTGGGGAGGCTAAATTAACTGATTTATGAGGCCATAAAGAAGACTCCAGCAAAGCATTCCAGCGAGGAAGCATGCGGGGAATGCGGAAGTGCTTCATCAGCGTCGCAGATGGACGATGAAAGCGACAGCTCCCCTGGCGGCCAGAAAAAGTTAAATAGCCTCTGTGTATGTCTGTATATGTTTGTATGTCAAAAATTGGCATTGAATGTTTGCCATATATGTGTACACTGTAATCCGCCCTGAGTCCCCTGCGGGGTGAGAAAGGTGGAATATAAAAGCTGTAAATCATAGAATCATAGAATCAAAGAGTTGGAAGAGACCTCATGGGCCATCCAGTCCAACCCCCTGCCAAGAAGCAGGAATGTTGCATTCAAATCACCCCTGACAGATGGCCATCCAGCCTCTGTTTAAAAGCTTCCAAAGAAGGAGCCTCCACCACACTCCGGGGCAGAGAGTTCCACTGCTGAACGGCTCTCACAGTCAGGAAGTTCTTCCTCGTGTTCAGATGGAATCTCCTCTCTTGTCGTTTGAAGCCATTGTTCCGCGTCCTAGTCTCCAAGGAAGCAGAAAACAAGCTTGCTCGCTCCTCCCTGTGGCTTCCTCTCACATATTTATACATGGCTATCATATCTCCTCTCAGCTTCTCTTCTTCAGGCTAAACATGCCCAGCTCCTTAAGCCGCTCCTCATAGGGCTTGTTCTCCAGACCCTTGATCATTTTAGTCGCCCTCCTCTGGACACATTCCAGCTTGTCAATATCCTCTCTTGAATTGTGGTGCCCAGAATTGGACACAATATTCCAGGTGTGATCTAACCAAAGCGGAATAGAGGGGTAGCATTACTTCCCTAGATCTAGACACTATGCTCCTCTTGATGCAGGCCAAAATCCCATTGGCTTTTTTTGCCACCACATCATAAATAAATAATTATAAATTACCTGGCCTTCTGTTTAAAAAGTTTGAGGACCCCTGTTTTATCACATCAGCCAATGTGTGACAAATGTATTTTGTATGCTAGTTACAAGTCATGCCTAAAACTAGATTTCCTACTGGTCCTCCTAATTTTGTAAAATGAAAAATCCCAGTAAGAATACGCAATAGAAAGGTGAGCCATTTACCTGCAGTCTCGGAGATGTCTGTGGTAGGTAGACAGGTGCCTTGCCCATGGGTGAGGGCATAAAGAGGCCTGGTTTCCTCTGGGTGCACCTGGCAGCTGAGCCCCTGACCACAGCGTGCTGTATACACTCCGCAGGGCTCGCCTAGCTGAAGGGCACAAATGTGGCAGCAGCCACATCCAGGCTGGAGAGCTGTTTCAGGACAGGTGGCAGGCACCAACGGGCACAAAACGAGCTTCTCTTCGGTGCATGGGGCACAACGTATTGCGTGGAGAGCAGCACCAAAGGTGAAGCAAGGGCAGAGGAGGAAAAGAAGCAGTGCGCAGGAGAGGCCTCTAGAATGCATGATGAATGAGCCGGCTGAGCTTGGAGAGGAACACCAGTCACGTTGCCCACGTTCAGCTAGGCTTGTCACTGTCTTCCTAATTACAGGGCATTTATATAGTTTTTTTGTTGGTCTGTTAATCTTCAACCCAAAGTTAACTATTATATGAGCAGGAGGGATAGGAAAAAAACATAATTTCATTGGTTGAATTGACCCATCCCCCTTTATTTTTCCTCCTGCTAAAAAAATGATGAAATAATCAATTATTATTCCACTCATTCTAGACCTTTACAGAAGATTTTAGTAAAGGAAGGGTTTTTTTTCTTTCCTAAGAGGAGGTCAGTGGGGAAATGTCACTGAAACCTTCGTAGCTGACCATAGTACCACAGCAACGGATGCAACTTGCAATTCAACTTCTTGTTTAATTTATGTCATGTGTCTGTAGGTTATTGTGACAATGACATACCAAGAGAGGCCCTCAGGGAGTAATCACAGCTCTTAGATCCGGTAAGTCCTGAACACAGCACGTAGGAGCTAAAGTCAATAATGTGCTTGCAAGAATTGTTTGGGACAGTTTCCTGTGGATGTGTTTGTGCCAAAACAGAACTCGGATATAAGCCTCCGACAACATTTACATGCTTATCTAACAATCAAGGTAGGAAGAGATCCGTTACTTCGGTAGTGGCCACTTTAAGACATATGGATTTGAAGAGTAAATAAAGGCTGCCTTCCATTCATACCCACTTAGGAGTAAATCCCAGTGAAGCCACTTGGACTTCTTTCAACGTACATTTGTCTCACAGCAGGTTAAAAATAATCTCTTTTGCATTGCAAAAAAGGGCGAAAGGACCCAAGGCAATATAACAGGAATTACTTTAAAACCTATTCAAGAGATCAAAACACAATTAAAATATTTTAAAACCTGGCAGCATTAACTGCTTAAAGTATTTTCATTATGGCAGAATTTATAGCTGCATAGGGACGTACTAAAGCCATGGTATTCCCTGTAGTAACCTACGGATGTGAGAGCTGGACCTTAGGGAAGGCTGAACGAAGGAAGATAGATGCTTTTGAACTGTGGTGTTGGAGGAAAGTTCTGAGAGTGCCTTGGACCATCAGAAGATCCAACCAGTCCATCCTCTAGGAAATAAAGCCCAACTGCTCATTGGAGGGAAGGATACTAGAGGCAAAGTTGAAGTACTTTGGCCACATCATGAGGAGACAGCAAAGCCTAGAGAAGACAATTATGCTGGGGAAATTGGAAGGTAGAAGGAAGAGGGGCCGACCAAGGGCAAAATGGATGGATGGCATCCTTGAAGTGACTGGACTGACCTTGAAGGAGCTGGGGGTGGTGACAGCTGACAGGGAGCTCTGGCGTGGGCTGGTCCATGAGGTCACGAAGAGTCGGAGACGACTGAACGAATGAACAACAACACAAATGTAGAACTGGTAAATATAATCGAGGTTAATGATGGAGAGAAGTGTATAGGTTCTAGGTATGCGAGAACTGCATTAGGCGAAGGGTCCTAGAATGGATACTTCACATAATATGCAGGCCTTCTGTATATACCAAGCCTCAGACTTTAGGTATTAACAGAGATTTGAATTTAACTCTGTCATCAAGTTCAATCTCTACCCACTCTAGATAGCTGCCTCTTTATTCCTTCTCATATATGAAGAAGGTATTTGTGTCTAGAAAAATTCAGGGAGACTTATTTCAAGTAAGTAAAGAATTTATCTGCAACTTTACTATCGTCACAGTGTCCACAGAGTACCAAGGCACTCCTGGTTGTCCCTGGGCACTAGGCTTGTTTGATAAAAAAAAAATTAGTTCAAAACTTGTTTCGGTGGGTAAATTCGAAAGTCAATTCCGATTTTCAAAGAAAAAAATGTTCAAAACTTTTTGAAACTTCCGACACTTCCGAATCCTTTCTTTAATGGTTTGAAAGTGTTATTTCCTGTTTCATTGGGTGGTCTTTACTTTGAAAGTAGTTGCTTTACTCCAGGAGCAGGGAAAAGCAAGTGGAGGAAATTCCTTTCTTCTCCGGTTTAAAACTGGCTTCTCTGGTTTGAGCCAGAAGGGGGAAAAGCAAACAGGAGGAAATTCACCCTTTTCCGGTTTAAAACTGGCTTCTCTGGCTTTAACCGGAAGGGGGAAAAGCAAAGGGGAGGAAATTCACCCTTCTCTGGTTTAAAACTGGCTTCTCTGGCTTGAGCCAGAAAGGGGGGAAACAAATGAGAAGAAATTCACCCTTCTCTGGTTTAAAACTGGCTTCTCTGGCTTGAGCCAGAAAGGGGGAAAGCAAATGGGAAGAAATTCACCCTTCTCCGGTTTAAAACTGGCTGCTCTGGCTAGAGCTAGAAGGGGAAAAGCAAACAGGAGGAAATTCACCCTTCTCCAGTTTAAAACTGGCTTCTCTGACTTTAGCCGGAAGGGGGAAAAACAAAGGGGAGGAAATTCACCCTTCTCTGGTTTAAAACCGGCTTCTCTAGCTTGAGCCAAAAGTGGGAAAAGCAAACGGGAGGAAATTCACGCTTCTCTGGTTTAAAACTGGCTTCTCTAGCTTGAGCCAAAAGTGGGAAAAACAAAGGGGAGGAAATTCACCCTTCTCTGGTTTAAAACCGGCTTCTCTAGCTTGAGCCAAAAGTGGGAAAAGCAAACGGGAGGAAATTCACGCTTCTCTGGTTTAAAACTGGCTTCTCAGAAGCGGGGGGAAAGCGTAATCATTTCCAACTCACTTCCTGAGTCGGAAAAAAAATGGCGAGACTAGCTTCGGAAGGGCAAGGAGATTTCTGGTTTCTTAAAAAAAAAGTTCAAAATTGCTTCAAAAAGAATTTTTCCAACTTCCGATTCCAATTCCGAATAACGAAGATTCCGACTGGACCTAACCATGTCTACTGGGCACTGTTGCTAAAGTTTGCCAGGGCACTAACACAGCTCAAAGAGGATGGGGGAATTTTCCCCTCCTTTCTCTCTCCCCTCTCTAAACAGGGTGAACAACTGTATGGTATTATGGCTACTCTCCTAAAGCGTAATGGAAAAGCCAGGTTTTGAGATCCCTCTTGAAGGTTTCTAAAGTGGGGGCCTTCCTAATTTCACCGAGCAATGAGTTCCAGAGTCAGGGGGCCACAGAGGAGAAGGCTCTCTCCCTTGTACCCACAGGACGAGCCTGTGATAATGGCAGGGGAGAAAGGAGAGCCTCCCCCAAGGATTGAAGAGCTCGGGCTGGTTCATGGAGAGAGATCTGGTCATGAAGGTAGGCGGGTCCCAAACTGTTTAGGGCTTTGTAGGTGATCATCTGCACCTTGAATTGGGACCGGGAAAAAAACGGCAGCCAGTGAAACTTCTTAAACAGCATCAAAACATGTTTTGATGCTAAATTCATAAATACAGTAATTGCTACATAACATTACTGTGTATAGAACTGCTTTTTCTGTTGATTTGTTGTAAAATGTGATTTTTCGGTGCTTAAATTGTAAAATCACAATGTAATTTGACGTTTAATAGGCTTTTCCTTAATCCCTCCTTATTATCCAACATTTTTGCTTATCCAACGTTCTGCCGGCCTGTATATGTTGGATAAGCGAGACTCTACTATAATCTGAAAGTAAGCAATTATTTTGAATTGCACTTTCAAACTGAATCCTTCTTGGGCTCATAATAATAATAATAATAATAATAATAATAATAATAATAATAATAATAAATAAACTTTATTTTTACCCGCCACCATCTCCCCTATGGGGACTCGGAGTGGCTTACATGGGGCCAAGCCCGGACAACATACTACAGCAATAAAATCAAAACATATACAGCAAACAACAACAACATCATCAAAATAACATTAAAAGAAAAAAAATCATAAGATAAAAATTCCAATAAACACAATCACAGTAAGGATGACAATGGGCGGGCCACATATTAAGAAACTATAATGAGATAAAATAGGAGCAGAGCATTTATATGGAACTCATAAAATACACAGAGTTGTGAGGCTAAACATCGTATTTGAAGGGCACGAACTCCATTAGAAGAAAACGTTGAGGGGTGCAGAATATCATGCTGTGCACCTACTCACCAAAGGCGCAGCAGAAAAGCCAGGTTTTGAGGTTCTTTTTAAACATTTCTAGTGAAGGGGCTTTCCTGGTCTCCCCAGGTAAGAAATTCCAAAGTCAGGGGGCCACAGAGGAGAAGGCTATCTCCCTTGTGCCCACAAGACAAGCTTGTGAGATTGGTAAAGGCGAAAGGAGGACCTCCCCCGAAGAATGAAGGGCCCGGGTTGGTACGTGGTGAGAGAGATACGGTCACGAAGGTAGGCGGGTCCCAAACCGTTTAGGGCTTTGTACCTTGATAACCTGTACCTTGAATTGGGACCGGAAAATAAATGGCATATTTCATATTTCTTGTGTCACCTATTATTTTCTGTGGGACAAAGAATTGCTGTGGTCTTAAGAATCTCTAAAATCAAGCTTCAGAAGAAAATCAGCCTGTGCTTGATAGATTATAGCAATTTTTCAAAACCTATCAAAAACCATATTAGCCACACCATCTAGATATCATTATAAATTTTAGTTTATTAGGCTAAAGAAATAAGAGCATGTAAATCGCAAGAACATATCACAACAGCTATAGTTCATGTGTCATTCCATTATGACTCAGAGAGGTTGATCATCATTAAGAACACCGGAAACTTTTTACGGTGACTTTATAGTACATAGTGGCCGTGCTTTTCACTGTTTGTATTTGTTTAAGGCAATGTCAGGATTGTAGGGTAGAAATGAGGAAGCTATAATACTACATCAAACAAAACATACATAAACATTTACTCTAGTTACTCTGTTTACACTGGTATCTGTACATTCCGTGTGCTTTGCTTTGAATTAAAGGCATGTTTTTCGGCATAAATCTTTGAAAAAAAGTAAGGGTTTATCCAGAAAGGAAAGTGTCCCTGAAAGTTTCAAGACTTTCTAGAGCTTTAACAACTATTTCCCCTGATTTTTAATTTTAATTTTAAATCCAAATTCTTTCTTGAAATCCTCACTCTACTCTTACTGATCATATTTTACATTTAGACTAGGCTACATTTTAGAGACAAAGTT